CCTTAGATGGAGTTTACCACCCGCTTAGGGCTGCACTCTCAAGCAACCCGACTCTGAGGAGATCCCTCCCGCGATCGACGGCGGTCGCTACGGGCCTGGCACCCTCTATGGGCTGTGGCCCCGTTCAAGAAGGACTTGGACGCGCCGGACGATCTCGGGATAACGGAACCTCCCTAACACCACATTTCCCGGCGCCCGGTATCGGCCGCGGGATTCGGTGCTGGGCTCTTCCCTGTTCGCTCGCAGCTACTGAGGGAATCCTAATTAGTTTCTTTTCCTCCGCTTATTAATATGCTTAAATTCGGGCGGGTAGTCTCACCTGCTCTGAGGTCGATCGATAAAATCATTATATATATATATATATATATATATATAAATATATATATTAAAACGTAGACGTGAATTTCGAAACGGTTCAGCGTTTATATTTAAAACCGCTATATCCACCACTCGTTACGCTGGCCGCAAACGATCAGACGTCGGACACCTTTTCTTCTTATCGAGAAAATAACGGACACGACGATCGTCAATTTTGGCGCGGACCTGCGACATACGCGGGGCGGTTTTAATTACGCTCGTCTCTCGCGCTTTTAAGCGAGCGCGACGCGACGAACCGGGTGCGTCGAAAATCGACGTCGTTCGCAAACTCGGTCGCGTTCCTTAGAACGCGGCCGGAGTTTCGCTTTCGCGTTTTAAAACGTCGCGAGACCGGGTAGGAGAGAGATCGCGCGCTAAGCGCGAACGTGCTGTTGCTCCTCACTCCTTCCCGCGCTACACGTCCAACTCGCTCCGACGTTTCTCGCGCCTCGCGGGCGAAAAAACCGAGCAGTCCTTTAAATTGGATACGACCCTCAGCCAGGAGTGGTCCGGGAACAGAATCCGAGGACCGCAATGTGCGTTCGAAATGTCGATGTTCATGTGTCCTGCAGTTCACAAGTTGACGCGCAATTAGCTGCGTTCTTCATCGACCCACGAGCCAAGTGATCCACCGTTTAGGGTAATCTTTTTTCGATCGGTTTAACGCTTTTCGTCTCCGAAAAAGAGTCGTCGGCGTTTGTTATCGACACATACATTTTTTTTACGGAAGCGAGGTATATACCTTTCGACGTAAAAAAAAAAAAAAAGTTCGATTTCGGGCCGGTCTATCCGACGGAACACTTCGCCGCGCGCCCTTTGTTCTTTATTATTCAGACGGTAGGCGCGCGCGCGTTCGCGTTCGGACGACCCGCGCCGGTTTAAAGTTTATATACACACCTCCTCGCGGGTTCGCGGGTGGGTGTAAGTACTTTTCGGTGCTCCGGGCGAATATCGTTTGGACACCTTGTCGACGGCGAGCGCGAAACTAGGTTTCGCGCTTCGAGTTCCGTCTAGGTACCCGGAAATTTTGTCGGCGCTCCTCCTACTCCTACTCCTCTCTCCCCTTTTTTTACGGTGGTCGAGTGGTCGTCGTAGTCGTCGAATTTAATCGCGGCCGACTTAAAGATCGACGCGAGATATTTTCGACCGAGCGTCAGCGACAAAAATTCGTTCGACTAAATAAAGACAAACTGTGTAATTTTTATTATCACTTTAATGATCCTTCCGCAGGTTCACCTACGGAAACCTTGTTACGACTTTTACTTCCTCTAAATGATCAAGTTTGGTCAACTTCCCGGACACATCGACGACGCCCGAAAACGCCATCGGCGTATCGGTCCGAAGACCCTCACTAAATCATTCAATCGGTAGTAGCGACGGGCGGTGTGTACAAAGGGCAGGGACGTAATCAACGCGAGCTTATGACTCGCGCTTACTGGGAATTCCTCGTTCATGGGGAACAATTGCAAGCCCCAATCCCTAGCACGAAGGAGGTTCAGCGGGTTACCCGGGCCTCTCGGCCAGGGAGGACACGCTGATTCCTTCAGTGTAGCGCGCGTGCGGCCCAGAACATCTAAGGGCATCACAGACCTGTTATTGCTCAATCTCGTGCGGCTAGAAGCCGCCTGTCCCTCTAAGAAGAATTGTTTGTACGCAGACAGTAAAAACCGCGCGCGACAACGGGGCGAACCCCGAGCCGGCCGGCCTTTGAGATGTCTAAATACGCCTAGTTAGCAGGCTAGAGTCTCGTTCGTTATCGGAATTAACCAGACAAATCGCTCCACCAACTAAGAACGGCATGCACCACCACCCACCGAATCAAGAAAGAGCTCTCAATCTGTCAATCCTTCCGGTGTCCGGGGCCTGGTGAGGTTTCCCGTGTTGAGTCAAATTAAGCCGCAGGCTCCACTCCTGGTGGTGCCCTTCCGTCAATTCCTTTAAGTTTCAGCTTTGCAACCATACTTCCCCCGGAACCCAAAAGCTTTGGTTTCCCGGAAGCTGCCCGCCGAGTCATCGGAGGAACGTCGGCGGATCGCTAGCTGGCATAGTTTACAGTTAGAACTAGGGCGGTATCTGATCGCCTTCGAACCTCTAACTTTCGTTCTTGATCAATGAAACGTTTTTGGCAAATGCTTTCGCTTCT